CGGGGAGGAGCCTCTCTAGCCCCAGGCAGTGCCCTTCCCACCTCCCCCGCGGTGGGTGCCGTCCGTGACCCAGATCAACCAACGGGGAGGATCCCACTGTCCCTGGAGCCAGGGGATCTGAGAGGCAGGGACGGGGGCTACTGACTGGGCCGGAGGGTCCGTGGCAGCTGAGTCATTACTGCGGTGGGGGCAGCTGTGATGGGGAACCCACCCGGGTCTGGACAGCTTGGTCCCCCTCTTTTCTTCTTCCCTCACCTTGGAGATTCACTGGAGGGGATGGCCATGTCCCTGGGACCCCTGTGAGCCCTGACCCTTCCTTCTCTCCACCTGCTGGGAGGACTCCGCCATGTGCATCGGAGCACGGTGGAGCGCTGAGATCCAGGCCACATTCCTGGGCGCCCCGGTGCAAGCAGCGCCTCACGGTGAACAGCGTGGTCCCTTCCGGCTGTTCTAGATAACAGCATGTTCCTGGAAGGCCGGGTCCCCAGTCCCGTGGTTTCTGACAGCCCTGTCCTCTAGTCTGGGTTCTGGGGCTCCTGGAAGGCCGGGCCCCCAGTCCCGTGGCTTCTGACAGTCCTCTCCTCTAGTCTGGGTTCTGGGGCTCCTGGAAGGCCGGGCCCCCAGTCCCGTGGCTTCTGACAGCCCTGTCCTCTAGTCTGGGTTCTGGGGCTCCTGGAAGGCCGGGCCCCCAGTCCCGTGGCTTCTGACAGTCCTCTCCTCTAGTCTGGGTTCTGGGGCTCCTGGAAGGCCGGGCCCCCAGTCCCGTGGCTTCTGACAGCCCCGTCCTCTAGTCTGGGTTCTGGGGCTCCTGGAAGGCCGGGCCCCCAGTCCCGTGGCTTCTGACAGCCCCGTCCTCTAGCCCGGGTTCTGGGGCTCCTGGAACCTGTTTCTGATTAGTGACTGTGTGTCCTTTGGGACTGTGCTTGAGCCTTTTTCTGGTGGTTTGGGGTGTCCAGATCCTTGGGGTGCTTGCTGCCCAGAGGAGCTGGGCTGCTGAGGGTGGGGCCAGGGCTCAGGGACAGGGCAATGGCTCTTGGAGACGTTTCCGTCCAGCCCAGGCACCAGCGCCACCCTGAACGTGCCTTTTCATCTCTTACCAGCAGCCTCGCCCCGTGTCTGTCACTGACAGGACAGGCTCCCAGAGGGCGGCACTGGCCTGGGTCCTTCTGCACCTCCCCCGACCTGGCCCTGCCCCTGTCCCGTGGAGGAACGTGGGGTCCCTGCTTCCTCCAGCCGGCCATCAGGCCCCGCAGTCCCAGTCAGGGGAGGAGACCTCTTTGGTTACACCTTGAATCCCCGAAGTGGGGCTGCCGGCCTCTGCTCACTTCCTGTGACGGAAGAATAAAGGGGCCCTGAGCGAGGCGGCTCGGGGCGGGGTGCGCGTGGAGGCTGGTGCAGCAGGGAGCTGCTCCCGTCAGAGCTGAATCCCTGAGCTCAGCCTCCGTTCCCAGAAGCTGGTGTTTGGGGTCCCCCTCCCTGATGCAGGCCTCCCCACAGATGCTGTGGCTGCTGCTCCTGACCCTCCCCTGCCTGGGGGGCTCTGTGCCCGGGAACCCAGGCAAGTCCACCCCACCCAATGCCCCCGCTGCCCAGGACCCCGTCCCTGCCCTGCCCCGGGCTCAGAGCGCCAGCCCTGGGGGCTGAGAGGACCGTCCGGTTGCCGGTCTGTCCTGGTGTTCTGAGCTCTGGGAAGACCCTCGTCCAGCCCCCTCACGGCCCTCCCTTGCCTCCCCAGAGCCCGGTGCGGGGCGTGAGCAGGTGGGCATCGTCGGGGGCTGCGACGTCTCGGCCAGGAGGTACCCCTGGCAGGTCAGCCTGAGGTTCTACAGCATGAAGAAGGGCAAGTGGGAGCACATCTGCGGGGGCTCCCTCATCCACCGCAAGTGGGTGCTGACCGCTGCCCACTGCCTTGGGCCGTGAGTGTGGTTTGCCATCCCCTCGGCGGGTGGGAGTGGGGGTGGGGACAGGCAGGTGTCCGGTGTGCCGGGGGCCCCTCCCAGGATGCAGGGGAAGCCCGGCCTCACTCTGAGAGCGCCTGCTCCTCTCCCCAGGGAGGAGCTGGAGGCCTGTGCGTTTAGGGTGCAGGTCGGGCAGCTGAGGCTCTATGCGGACAACCAGCAGACGAAGGTGGCTGAGATCCTCCGCCACCCCCAGTACAACGAGAGCCTGGCTGCCCAGGGCGGCGCGGACATCGCCCTGCTGAAGCTGGAGGCCGCCGTGCCGCTGTCCAAGCGGGTCCACCCCGTCTCGCTCCCGCCTGCCTCCCTGGACGTCCCCTCGGGGAAGACCTGCTGGGTGACCGGCTGGGGTGACATCGCAGGCAACCGTGTGTATCAGGGAGGCTTGCTGGGGAGGGATGAGGGGGCTGGGTCTTGTGGAAAACCCCTCACTCTGTGTCCTCTGGGACCCCCTTTGCGAGCCAGTGAACATGGTGCCCGGGTTTTGGACAGGGTGCTTCTGTAACAGACGTCAGGGACCGGGACTCGCTCTGGGCAGGTGGCTCCAGCTGCTGCTACAGACCCGGCATTCGCCGGCTCCACTCTGCCAACCGCAGCCGAGGCTGGGCTGCTCCGCTGTGGACGGAGGGTCTGTCTGGGGTCCCGAGCCCGCGGCTTTGCCCTGCTTCCGAGAGGAGCCCTGTGTCCTGGCGCTGGGCTGGCATCCAGACCCTCAGTGGTCGTGTAGGCAGATCCTGACTCTAGTGGACTTGGGGATACTGAGTCACTGGGTCAGGATTTGGGGGTGGGGGCTCCTCTACATCCTCTGCTGAATGTCAGGGAGGCCCGCATGGGGTGGAATGAGGTCTCTGCTGCAGGGAAGAGGCTCAGGTCCACGTTCTCCCCGCAGGGCCGCTGCCTCGGCCCTACCAGCTGCAGGAGGTGGACGTCCCCATCGTGGGGAACGAGGAGTGTGACCGGGAGTACCGGAACCAGTCCCTGGACAGCACCGACAGGGTCATCCAAGACGACATGCTGTGTGCGGGGAGTGAGGGCCGGGACTCCTGCCAGGTGGGACCCCAGTCCTACCCTGCCTCCTCGGTCCCCCGCCCACCCGCCCCATCGCTGTGGGTGCACTCGGGGGCTTTGCTGAGTGCTGTCTCTCCCCACAGGGTGACTCTGGGGGCCCCCTGGTGTGCAGGTGGAATTGCTCCTGGGTCCAGGTGGGGGTTGTGAGCTGGGGCTACCTCTGCGGCCAAGGGTACCCTGGCGTGTACACCCGCGTGATGAGCTACCTGTCCTGGATCCGCCAGTACGTCCCTCAGTTCCCTGGACCCTAGCTGGGGTGCAGTGGGGTCTGCACACTCCCGGAGACCCCGTCATCCTTGTGGACGCCCCTGCTGCTCCCCAGTCCCAGCCTCGGCCTCCCACAGGTCTGCACCCTGAGAGCCTTCTGCTCCTCTCCAGCTTCTCAAGGCGTTTTCCTGCCGGCAGGGGGCTGGGGAGCAGGGGAGGGGCCCTCGGAGATGAGCCGGGCGTGGGAACAAAACCCTGGCCATCCCAGGCGACTGCTTGTGACTTGACTCTATTAAACGGTGTGGAAATGGCTCCGGGTCTGTGGCGTGTGTCTGGACTGTGGGAGCAGCTGGGGTCACCGAGCGGGCTGGCCGGGCTTGGCTGCAGGCCTTGGTCTCTCTCAGGCCAGGCAGGAGAGGGATGGACGCTAGGGCTGCGAGGGGCCCACTCACGTCTGTCAGGGCCATTGACACTGGAGCGCCAGTCCCAGGCTGACCGACTTCTCCCTCCCTCCCCTTCCCAAAGCTACCTCCCTCCTAGAGCCCCCAGGCCCCTACCCACCAGCAGGGTCCTCCTGCTCCCGAAAGATGCGGCCCTGAGAGCCGCTGGCGCCGTGCGCTGGTCCCCACGCTCCCGGCCCTCCACTCCCAGACAGGGTTCCCGGCCAGCTCTAGGCTTTCTCCTTTTCTGGCACAAATTCCTCTTTTTTGAATTTCAAAAGTCCTAAATTGGCTGGGTGTGGCGGCTCACGCCTGTAATCCCAACACTTTGGGAGGATGAGGCGGGCAGATGACCAGGTCAAGAGATCGAGACCGTCCTGGCCGACATGGCGAATTCCCCGTCTCTATTAAAAATACAAAATAGCCGGGCATGGCCGGTAGTCCCAGCTACTCACGAGGCTGAGCCAGGAGAATCGCTTGAACCTGGGAGGTGGCGATCATGCCGTGCACTCCAGCCGGGGCGACAAGAGTGACACTCCTCAAACAAAAACACAGAAGTCCTAAGTCAAGGTTCTCTGGTTTGGGTTCTGCAAATGTGACCCCAGATTTGCAACCCCGGAGGTGCTGCCAGCAGGGGCTACGTGGGGCCACAGGCTCCCATGACAGCCACAGCTTTCCTGGGAAGCAGGGGTCCCATGGGTGCCTCTGGATTTTCTGGCTGTAATGCCTTCTGCTGGTCACCCTGGACAACTGGCCTGGGGCATATGGAGGTGCCTCTGAGTGCCCGGAGCCCGAGATTTTTGGGGGATGCTGGTGGAAGCAAAGGGTTCTAGGGTGCTGGAGAGGGCCCTGGGGTGGAGAGGTCCTGGGGTGGAGAGGGCCCTGGGGTGGAGAGGTCCTGGGGTGGAGAGGGTTCTGGGGTGGAGAGGGCCCTGGGGGGTGGAGAGGGCCCTGGGATGGAGAGGGCCCTGGGGGGGGGGCAGCACAGTGGGGAGGGGCGGGGGGCTCAGGGCCCCCATCCGTAACCTGCCTGTTCTCTACCTGATTCCAGGCCCCACCCCGGCCCCTTGTCCCCTGGGAACGTCTGGGACAAAGGGCTTTAGTGGGAAGAACCTGCTCTCTGCCTGAGTCGGGCCGAGGGGTCCTGTCCCCGTACCTGGGGCTGCATTGGCCTCATGCTGGGTGGGGTGGTTGTGGCTCCTAGACTCTTCAGTGATGCAATGTGGTGGCCTGGGGCAGGGGCTGGGGGCAGCTGAGCGACACTCTTGGTTGCCGCCATCTGATTAAGCTGTTTGAACCCAGAGCTCAGAAGTGGGTGCTGGGGCTGCTGAGCCGGCAGAGCATGGGTGTTCAGACAGGCAGGTGGGGCCACGTCAGGCCCGGAGAGCCACTCCCTCCCCGTCGACCTGCAGGATGTCCGCCCCGCAGACTAGACGGCCCCTGCGGGCATCCTGGGGGTACCCTCCTGTGCAGGCCCCAAGAGTCTCAGGCAGAGCCCAGCTTTGTGGGACCTGCCCCAACACCAGTCCCCACCCACCAGTGCCAAAATGTCACTTTGGGAGCCCAGGTGGCAATTCCAAATCAGAAGGCTCCAGAGCTGACCTCCCTCCTACCGTGCAAAGAAATCTTTTGGAGAGAGCTGGAGCCTCTGCCCCGTCAGCTCCCAGGGCCTCTCACGGCCATTTCTTCCCACTCCCCACACCCGCCCCTGTATCCCAGATACATCATAAGTCGGGAATACAAGGCTCATGGAGGGGTGCACAGACACTGCCCTGCACCCCAGGCATGGAGAAAGCAAGCCCCTTTCCCACTGCTGGAGGCCTGCTGTGCGCCTCCTCCAAATCCAGATGGTGAAGCCCTAACCCCCTGCGTGATGGTATCAGGAGGAGGGTGCTTCAGGAAGTGAACAGCGGATTCGCGCCCTCAGAGGCGGGACCCCAGAGAGCTCGCTCACCCTCCCGGCACTGGAGGACGCAGAGAGAAGGCACTGTCTCTGAACCAGGGCGTGGGCCCTCACCAGCCGCCAGCCACGCTGGCTCCCTGATCTGGGACCTCCATCCTCTGGGGCGTCAGGAATGGAATCCCTGCGGTGTATGAGCCACCGGGCTGTGGCACTGCTGCGGCCTCTGGAGCCGCCTAGGACCCCACCCACCCCTCCAGGCACGGGTGGCCCAGGCCTCCTCCCAGGCCAGGCAGCTGTCTCCAGGAGGTCTTTGCTGACAGGAAGGCCTGGGGCTGAGCCGGCTCCCTGGGGCAGGGCAGGGCACCACACTGGGAAAGAGCCTGAAATTCTCCCACTCGCTTGGTGAGAAGAGCCGGGCACCTCGGCCGTACGTTGAGTGACATGTTGGAACAGGGAAATCCGTAGAGGCAGACAGAAGGTTCGTGGGGCCAGGGGAGGGGAGTGACAGGGACAGGAGGCGGCAGCCGACGGGTGTGGGATTCTTTTCAGAGCGACGAAAATGCCGAAAGATTGGGAATGATGGTAGCCGCGTGTCTGAATGCACGAAAACCTACGGAGCTGCACCTTTTACATGTCTGGATTGTAGTTTTTTGTGAACTCAGTCTCAATAAAGCTGTTTAAAAAAGCCCATATTAACAATAAAAAACAAAAAGAGCAGGCCGGGCGCGGTGGCCCACGCCTGTAATCCCAGCACTTCGGGAGGCCGAGGCGGGCGGATCACGAGGTCAAGAGATCGAGACCGTCCTGGCCAACACGGTGAAACCCCGTCTCTACTAAAAATACAAAAATTAGCTGGGCGTGGTGGCACGCGCCTGTAATACCAGCTACTCGGGAGGCTGAGGCAGGAGAATTGCTTGAACCCCGGGGGTGGAGGTTTGCAATGAGCCAAGATCATGTCCCTACACTCCAGCCTGGGTGACGGAGCAGGAAAAAAAAAACATAAAACCACAACGTGAGCCCCATGAGGAGCTGTTGGACACAGGCCCCCCAGGAACCCCTCCCTGTACATTGAACATCGGGGTCTTCCAAAGGACAGTCACCAGGGCCCTGTCTTCCCAACGCAGGGTCTATGGCAGGACCACCCTGGGCATGTGAGGTTTTTGGAGTATGGGGAGCCCTCCTGAGGGTCTTGGCAGGGGTGGAGGCTCTCTGCTCAGGTGGTCACTGGTTTGGGTGGGGCCCAGCAGTGGCAGGGTCGGCACTCACAGGTGGCCGGGCCGGACACTGCCCACTGGCGTTCTCCACCCTGTTCCCTCAGCTCCCAGGTGCACTGCTGATTGGGGGCGTCTCCCAGGAACAGGGAACTCCCGGGTCATGATGATAATCCCCCCCCTTTTTTTTTTTGAGATGGAGTCTTGCTCTGTCACCCAGGCTGGAGTGCAGTGTTGCGATCTTGGCTCACTGCAACCTCCACGTTCAAGCAATTCTGCTGCCTCAACCTCCCCAATAGCAGGGATTACCGGTGCCTGCCACCACGCCAGGCTAATTTTTGTATTTTGAGTAGAGACAGGGTTTCACCCTGTTGGCCAGGCTGGTCTCGAACTCTTGGCCTCAGGTGATCCACCCACCTTGGCCTCCCTAAGTGCTGGGATTACAGGCATGAGCCACTGCACCCGGCTGACAGTCCCTTCTTTGCTTCCTCTCTGGCTGGGGTGGATGAGGTGGAGCACCCCCTCCTCAGAGATCTCACCAGTCCTGGCCCTTGGGCTCCCAGGGCTGACTGCTGAGGAAGCCAGGGAGCCTTCTTCTCCAGGGCCCACCATTGCCCGGTGTCCCGAAAGAGGCAGGAAGAGGGTGGGAACCCGCTGTCCCTGTCCAGTCCTGCCCGCAGGCTCTCCCACCAAGGGGCCCTGTCCCCCACTTGGCTGCCTCTGCCTCCCACCAAGCCGGGCCCTGCAGCTCTCCCTGGTAGGTGGGAGCCGTGGGCTCCGTGCCAGGCCCACAGGAGGAGGCAGCGGCCCACGCCCAGCCCCGCCTCCCAGGGAGGACCTGGACCGCAAACCACGGAGATGGAGCCCAGGTCAGCCCTGGCTGTGCCAGGCTGGCTCCTGCGGGGAGGGGGCTTTCCTGAGCATCCGCAGCCTGGCCCAGCCCGGGCATCTCCCATGGCGTTGAGCACACCTCCAAACGCCCCATTCAGTGTCAATGTTGCCACCCCCACCATAACCCTCTACCAGGCCTGGCGCAGATCCCAGCTGAGACGTTGATGGACTGACTTGGGAGGAGGGAAGCCCCGCCCAAGGGTGCACAGGCCCTGCCCACCGGGTATAAGGCCCCGCCCACTTCCTGGGCTGAGAGGATAAAGGGGGCTCAAGGCTGCAGAGGGCAGAGAGGCCGGGAAGGCAGTGCCAGGTTCCTCTCAGGCCTCCCAGCCCCCCCCACCCATCCCAGACCCTGGGGTCCCGGTCCCAGCACCCCTCACCCAGCCCTGTGCTCCCCCCAGCCCTACAGATGCTGTGGTTGCTGTTCCTGCCCCTGCCCCACCTGGGGGGCTCCATGCCCATGTTCCCCGGTAAGTCTTGGCCCCATCCAATGCTCCCAGTGTCCTGGGACCTGCCCCCAATCCCAGGCCTGCGCTGACTCCGGTGGGTGGGTGCTGACCAGCCCCTGGGAGCCGCCTGCTCACCCTGGGCTCTGGGGGACGGCATGGGGGAGGCCACGCTGACTCCGGGCAGGGCTCCTGGGCCCCTCACAGCCCCTCTCGCCACATCTCCAGATCCCAGGTCAGGGACTGAGTGGGCGCACACCGTAGGGGGCCACAGTGCCCCTCCCGGGAAGTGGCCGTGGCAGGTCAGCCTCAGGACCTTCAGCAAGGAGCGGGACCAGTGGGAGCACAGCTGCGGGGGCTCCCTCATCCACCCCCAGTGGGTGCTGACTGCGGCCCACTGCACAGCACTGTGAGTGCTCACCGGGAGACCGGGCTGGGAGATGGGGGCGGGAGGAGGCCGAGCGGGAGGGCCGCGCAGTGTGGCGGGCGGTGTCCTGGGGCGGGAGGAGGCTCAGGTTCTGGGAGCTGTGGCTCCTCCTGACCCCGGGCTGAGACCCTGGACGTATTCCTGCTGCACGGGGGCCCTCTGGCCTGAGAAGCAGCTGGTCTCCCCCAGGGACGCGTCGGAGCCACAGACATACAGGGTCCAAACTGGACAAGTGACGCTCTATCACCGCGACCGGCCGACGAAGGTGGCCCAGATCATCCTGCACCCCAAGTTCAACCTAAGCCTGTTGGCTCCGGGGGGCGCCGACGTCGCCCTGCTGAAGCTGGAAGCCCCTGTGACGCTGTCGGAGCTCGTCCACCCGGTGTCCCCGGCCCCCGACTCGCTGATGCTCCTCCCAGGGATGAAGTGCTGGGTGACTGGCTGGGGGACCCTCGGTACGGTCAGGGGACGGCGGGGGAGCCCTGGGCAGAACTCAGGCAGGTGCGTGGGGCCGGCAGGGGTGTGCCTGGGCCGCAGGTGGGCTGCAGGACCTCTGGCCACCTGCTGCAGGCCTCACCCCCACCAGGAGGCATCTTCAGCTCTGGTTTAAACCTCGGCAACAGCCACAGGAGCTGGAGGCCATTTCTCAGTCAGCAATCGCCATTTTTTTTTGTTTTTTCTAGACGGAGTTTCACTCTGTCGCCCAGCCTGAAGTGCAGGGGTGCGATCTCGGCTCATTGCAGCCTCCACCTCCCGGTTCAAGCGATTCTCCTGCCTCGGCCTCCCGAGTAACTGGGACTACGGGCGCCCGACGCCACGCCCGGCTAATTTTTGTATTTTTAGTAGAGACGGGGTTTTGCCATGTTGGCCAGCTGTGCTCACCCAGCCCCTCCCCACAGGGTCGCTGCCCCCAGCCCACCACCTGCAGGAGGCCAAGGTCCCCATCGTGAGGACCCAGGCTTGCGAGAGGGCGTATCACAAAGGACCCTCTGCCCACGGCCAGGACACCGTCATCAAGGCTGACATGCTGTGTGCAGGGAGGAAGGGGCAGGGCTCCTGCCAGGTGAGACCCCAGCCCTTTGTCCTCAGTGTTGGGTGTGGGAGTGGCTTCACCGTGGAGCCGTCGTCCCCTGACCGTGTCCTCCCCTACAGGGCGATGCTGGGGGCCCCCTGGTCTGTTACTGGCTGGACACCTGGCTCCAGGTCGGCGTGCTGAGCTGGGGCATGGCCTCCAGGCCCAGGGACTACCCTGATGTCTACACCCGGGTGATGTCCTATTCATCCTGGATCCGCCAGCATGTCCCACTGGAGCTTTGAGGAGCCTCTGGGAACCCGGGAGCCGACCTGCCCTCCTGGCCTCCCCGCCTGGCCTCCTGCTGCCTTCCCCCTTCCACCTCCAGGCCCTGTTCCTGCCTGCCCCACCTGGCTCCAAAGCAGCCCATCCTTCCCTGACTTAGGGGTGAGGCTGCGGCAGCAGTGGGGGCTCAGAAGTTGGTGTCCCCAGGATGTGGGTGGGTTGGGGAGGATGCACCCAGGGACCTTGCCTTCTGCCTGGGTCTGCTATGCTATTAAACTGTGTGAACAGCGGCCTCCGAGTCTCTGATTCTCTCATGTGTCCTGGGCTGTGATGAGGGCTCAGGGCCAGCCGGGAGTGACTGCCCCTTCAGGCCGGGTTGGGGGCCCTCGGGAGGGCGTGTGGTGACTGCCTCATTCTGGGAGGGCTCAGCCGCCCTCCCCGGCTTCCCACAGCCCAAGGATGAGATGGCTGTCCTCTCCCCAGCAGCCATCGCTGGCTGGCAGTTTCCCTCCTTTCCCTCGCTCCCCCCAGTCTGTGACATGAAACCCAGCCTCACTGCACCCCAGTTCCGACACGGAGCCACACTGCAGGCCCTGAGGCTGCTCTCTTGGCCGGGTCTCCTCCTTGGGGCTCCCGGAGACTCAGGGTCGCTGAGGACACAGCCTCCCTGAACTGCGGGTCTCCATGGAGCTGGCTGCCCTGGAATGAGGGAGACCCCAGCTCTGCCCCTGAGCAGCTGCTCCTCCACCTCTCCTCTCCAGGCAGAGGAACCGCCATGGCATGGGTCCCCACAGCTGCCCCTAAGACCCAAAACAGGACACGATGGCCCTGTCACGGCCACAGCCTGGGCACCACACGGCCCTGTGGTCCCAAAGTCCCTGCCTGCTGAGCTCCGGCCACCCCCACTTATCAGAGAACAACACTCTCTGCCCCTAGCGGCCCCCACTTTCAGGGAGATGGGAGCACCCCACCTGGTGGGTTTCTTGGAGCCACCGGGAGGCCCCTGCCACCTCCTTGCTGAGCCCTCCTGCTCCCGGGCCCCTCCGAAGTGGGGGACCCCCCCACGGTCTCCACAATATGGGCCCAAGGACAGCTTCCTCGGGGGTCTCTGCATCCCCTCCTGGCCCCATTAGGATTCTGGATTCTTCCCAGAGCCCAGGTTTCCTGGGACACCGGGGTTGGGGGGGCACCTGTGTGGGCCACAGGGCCCTTGACCCAGGGTGGACCTCGGTGTCCCCAGAATGGGCATCAGATTGGGTGTCTGTTATCAGGGGCCTTGGGGGAAACGGCTGAGCAAGGTCAACGAAGAAACACCAGGGAAGCCACAGCGGCGCCTCCTCTCTAACTCTGGGTGGCTGCGTCCCCGCCAGCTCCCCCACCAGCCCCAGGCTGGGACAGGACGCCCTGGCCCTGAGTTAGACGGGGCAGGGGGTGTGGAGAGTGGCTGCCTGCACCCCCGGGCCCCAGCGGGAGGGTCCCCCTGGGTGGCTGACACTCTCAGGCCCAGCCACCCGTAGCTTTGAGGATCAGAGGGGATCGTCCGTCTGTCTGCCAGTCAAGGGGCCGGGAGACTCACTCACCTCCTCACCTCTGCCAGAAAATTTTGGCTTTTAGTGCCAACTGCCCCACCTCATATGTGCCCCCAGCTTGGTGCACGGTGGGGTGGGGGTCGCGCAGAGATCGGGGAGGGCCTTAAGACTGAAGAAAGGGATTCCGGAAGATTTTTGGGGCAAGTGGGGGCCGACGTGGGAGAGGGAGGGAGGGAGGGGGGAGTAGGGATGGTGGGCCTCAGGGAGCATGGGGGTCAGGCTCCCTATACTCTGGGCAGGATGTGAGCCCCCGAACCCCCTTTCGTGAGCTCTGGCTGGGGTCCCAGCACCCCCTGGTGGAGGGAAGGGCTGGAGCCGCCAGGCCTTTCTCACGTGGCCTGTGGCCTCCTGTGCGGTTACCCAGAGGAGGGGCAGCTCTCGCCGGGGCTGGGGCAGAAGCCGCGCTGCAGGACGTGGGGCGCCCTGAGTCCTCGGCACAGACACCGCGTCCAGCTCTCCCCCGCAGGTCCTCCCCACTCCTTCTTCCACATCTGCCCTCTGTCCCTCCCCTCACTGCCTTTCCCCTGCCTCTGCGGTTGCGGGTCCTGGCTCTGTCCCTGAAGCCCCTGCTCCCTGGGAGGACCACGGCTCTGGTGCCACCACACCTCCGAAGCTCTTGCCCGAAGCCCAGGGTGCAGCCGGCCCAAGTCCAGGACGGCGGTTCTGTCCCCTGGCCCCTCCGGTCCCCACTGCACAGGTCTCTCTCCTGTCTCTGGGTCATAGTGCGCCCGTGGTCCCAGCTCCCCGGGAGGGCTGAGTGGGAGAATGGCTTGGGCCCAAGCAGTGGAGGCTGCAGGGAGCTGTGATCGAGCCACTGCACTCCAGCCTGGGCAACACAGCCACAGCCTGCCTCAACTGTGTCCGGAAGGTCTGAGGATGGAGGACCTCACCCCAGCATCCACCATGGAGGTGTCTCCACGTGCAGGCTCCAGGCTGAGCTGCCTGGAGGGCATCTGCAGGGTGGGCTTTGCCAATCGTGATGGGCACTGCCATGGTGGGCACCTCCCTCGGACGATCTCCCGGGCCTGTGGTCTGTCCTGGGAGAGAGCTGCACCTCCACATGGGGCCACCCACGGCCTTCATGGCCGTCACCTTCATGCTGCCACACACGGACTGATGGAAACCGCCCCAGGGACCCCATGGTGGGACGCAGAGGCTTGCTGCTGCCTCAGGCTCCCTCCTGCATCCCAGATCTGAGTTTTCCTAATGGCCCTGCCCTCCAAACCAGTTGCTGTGACCTCCTGCAGGAGGAACGGGCAGACTCGAGGGCCCCAGCACCGCCGCACGTTCCCTGCCCTCACCTGCCCCTCTCACCCCTGTCCTGCCAGCCCAGGCTGGTGGGTGGGTGGAGATGTGCAGTGTGGGTGGGACAGAAGAGTGGACGGGTGGAGACGCCTCCCGGACCTGGGGCCGCCACAGGGCCCCACCTCCTGCTGCCCTCCGCCTCTGGGGGAGGGGCCAGGGAGAGAGCTGCAGAGTCCTGGCAGGTAAGGGTGCTGTCCCCTCCCTGACACCTGGGGGCGGCTCCCCGACCCCACCCTGACCCCGGGTCTGAGCCCCTAGCCCGCACTCCATGCTGTCTCCCTGCAGATGCTGCTGCTGCTCTTCCTGGCCATCTTCTCCCTGGGGAGCTGCAGCTCCGGGAGCCCCGGTGAGTCCCGGCCCACACGGCCCTCCCTTCCCAGAGGCTCCAGCCCTGACCCAGGATCCAGGGGACGTGTGTACAGTCTGGCTCCGGCCCGAGGGTGGGCACAGGCTGAGGCTCGGGTGTCTGAGGCCAGGCTCCCTGACCTCCCCCTGTTGCTCCCAGCGCCCGTCCCCGAGAATGACCTGCTGGGCATCGTGTGGGGCCACAACGTCCCCCAGGGGACGTGGCCGTGGCAGGTCAGCCTGAGGATCTACAACTACCACTGGGCGTCCTGGGTGCACATCTGCAGGGGCTCCCTCATCCACCCCCAGTGGGTGCTGACCGCCGCCCACTGCATCTTCCGGTGAGTCCTGGGTGGGGACCCCAGTGAGGGGAGGGTGGGAGTGGGGCCGCCCCAGGCCAGGCCCCCTGAGAAGCTGGGGTCCGTCCTCCCCAGGAAGGACACTGACTCGTCCACCTACCGGATCCACGCCGGGGACGTGTATCTCTACGGGGGCCGGGAGCTGCTGAATGTCAGCCGGGTCATCGTCCACCCCGATTTCTCCGTCTTCTTCCTGGGGGGAGATATCGCCCTGCTGAAGCTGGCCACCAGCGTGAGGACAACAAAAACCCTCGCGCCGGTCGCCCTGCCGTCAGCGTCCCTGGGACTCACTGGAAGTGACAACTGCTGGGCCACAGGCTGGGGAAGGGTCGGCTTGTTCGGTGAGAGCCAGAGTGATGCGAGGCGGCACTGGAGGGGTCCCGGCAAGACTCACGAAAGACAAGCCCTTGGTTTGCAACTTTTTGGGGTTCTCTTGCTAGGGTTGGGGTGCGGGGTTCAGGTGAGCTGGCCTAGGGATACCGGCTCATGAAATACAGGTGGGAGAAGAGAACACCAGCATTTGGGGCGGGTGGGAGGAGGCGCCAACTCTGGGCTGTGTGTGTGTGTACAGAACACGGGTTTTACGTACATTCTCGTGGTGAGGCATTTTTCTTCGTTTTGTGGAAAACGGAATGGGCTCACAGAGGACAGGAACTGACCCGTCCGTCCCTCCCTCCACTGACGGCTTCAGAGACCCTGAGGCTTTCTTCCTCACCTGCTCCCAGCCTTAATTTTTTTTTTTTTTTGAGATGACATTTCGCAGTCAGGCTAGGTGGCTCACGCCTGTCATCCCAGCACTTTGGGAGGCTGAGGCAGGCGGATCACAAGGTCAGGAGTTCAAGACCAGCCTGACCAACACGGCGAAACCCCGTCTCTACTAAAACACACACACACAAAATTAGCTGGGTGTGGTGACACGCGCCTGTAATCCCAGCAACTCAGGAGGCTGAGGCAGGAGAATCGCTTGAATGCAGGAGGCGGAGGTTGCAGTGAGCCCAGATCATGCCGCTGTCCTCCAGCCTGGGTGACAGAGTGAGACTTTGTCTCAAAAAAAAAAAGAGAGATGGCGTTTCACTCTTGTTGCCCAGGTTGGAACGCGGTGGTGCAATCTCGGCTCACCACAACCTCCGCCTCCCCGGTTTGAGCGGTCATCCTGCCTCAGCCTCCTGAGTAGCTAGGATTACCGCCGGGCACCACCACGCCTGCACAATTTTGTATTTTTAGTAGAGACGGGGTTTCTCCATGTTGGTCAGGCTGGTCTCGAACTCCAGACCTCAGGTGGCCCGCCTGCCTTGGCCTCCCAAAGTGCTGGAACTACAGGCGTGAGTCACCGTGCATGGCATGTTCTTTAAAAGGCAGTGCCCGGTGTTGTTACCGAGAGCGTACGCCCCGCCTCCCTCTTCTAGAGTATGTGTCTCGTCCCGTCTCCCTTTTGTCCTCAGTTAAAAGGTACTGGTGGACAGGGGTGGTGGGGTTGGTAGGGGAGTGAGCGCCGTGGTTCGTGCCTGTAATCTCAGCACTCTGAGAGGCTGAGGCAGGAGGATCCCTTGAGCCCAGGGGCTCAAGACCAGCCTGGACAGCACAGGGAGACCTCATCTCTACAAAAAAGTTAAAAAAATACATATTGGCCAGGCGCAGTGGCTCACGACTGTAATCCAAGCACTTTGGGAGGCTGAGGTGGGCGGATCATTTGAGGTCAGGAGTTCAAGACCAGCCTGGCCAACATGGTGAGACCCCGTGTCTCCCAAAAACACAAACATTAGCCGGGCATGGTGGTGTGCGCCTGTAATCCCAGCTACTTGGGAGGCTGAGGCAGGAGAATGAGTTGAGCACGGGAGGCAGAGGTTGCAGTGAGCAGAGACTCAGCCATTGCACTCCAGCCTGGGGACAGAGAGATCCCATCTCAAAAAAAAATCAGCTGGGCGTGGTGGTGCGTGGCTGTGGTCCCGGTGACTTGGGAGGCTGAGGCTAGAGGGTGGCTTGAGCATCGCTCGAGCCTGGGAGGCTGAGGCCGCAGTGAGCTGTGGTTGTGCCGCTGCTCTCCCGCCAGGAATCTCCATTTTGGGTTTTTGCAGCTTTACAGGTGGAGCCCCTTTGACCTCGCCACAGGCCGTGTAGGTCCTGAGCTGAGGCTGGGGGCAGGGAGGGGTTCTGCGTGGGGCTGGCTGGGGGACCCCCTGAGCCACTCCCAGCACCCGAGGCCTGTCTCCACAGATACGCTGCCGCCTCCTTACCGCCTGCAGCAGGTGAAGGTCCCCACGCTGAGCAACGCAGACTGCGAGCAGCGGATCCACGACGCTTTTCCTGGCGCTGGAGACAGAAAGTTCATCCAGGACGACATGATCTGTGCTGGCCGCACCAGCCGCCACACTTGGAAGGTGAGACCCGGTGCCTCTCTCCTGCCATCTCTTTTTCTACCTGCAGCCCCGAGGCTGGACTGGGATGTGCTGGTCCTGGGTGTCTCCAGTCAAGCTGGGCATTCCCTGCTCTGCAGGGCAACTCAGGCGGCCCCCTGGTCTGCAAGAAAAGCGGTACCTGGCTCCAGGCCGGAGTGGTGAGCTGGGGATTTTTCAGCGATCGGCCCAGCATTGGTGTCTACACGAGAGTCCAGACCTACATGCCCTGGATCCTGCAGCAAATGCATCTCTAAGCCCCCAGCCCCCCAGCTCCCCAGGGATCCAGCTTCCTCCCCCAGGCCCCTCCGCTCCCTTGCCCCTCAGTCCCTTCCACCTTTTCAGACCCATCACCTTCCTCCCTCTCCCTGGGAGGAGGAGGCGTGGGAGGGGCTTTGAATGCGGTGAGGTTAGGAATGGAAGCCCCAGAGGCAGTTTGCAGTAGTCTCACTAAACCTTTAGCAAAGCAAACCAGAAAGTGGCCAGTGTTCTTGAGTGTGGGTATGGCTGGTGGGGCAGTGACTGGGGGCTTCCTGAGGGGGGTGCATCTGCTCTGGACAGTGGGGCTGTAGAAATGGCTGCTCCAGGCCGGGCGCAGTGGCTCACGCCTACAATCCCAGCACTTTGGGAGGCTGAGGCAGGCAGATGACCTGGAGACGGTCAGGAGACGGAGACCATCCTGGCCAACGTGGTGAAACCCTGTCTCTACTAAAAATACAAAAAAATTAGCTGGGCATGGTGGTGCTGCCTGTAATCCCAGCTACTCAGAAGGCTGAGGCAGGAGAATCACCCGAACCAGGGAGTCGGAGGTTGCACTGAGCTGAGAATTCGCCACTGCACTCCAGCCTGGACGACAAAGACTCCGTCTCAAAAAAAAAAAAAAAAAAAATGGCTGCTCCAGACCAGGCATTCATTGGTGGTGGAGGGACATGATAAACGGGGTGGCAACAGCAGGGAAAATAAGCTCAGTGATGACTCTACTGTCGGGGCCCAGCTCCCAGCCCAGCCCTCCACTAAAGTATGGGTCAGCCCCACCACCAATTCATCCATCTACCATCCGCCCACACATCTACTCACGAAATTCATCCACTCATCCAACCATCCATTCAACCACCCATCCATCCAGCCATCTACTAATCTATCCATCCATCATCCACCCATCCACCTATTCATCCACCCATCCACCCACCAATCTAACCATTCATCCATCCATCCACCCACCTATCCGTCTGTCCACCCATCTGTTCATCCATCCATCCATCCAACCATCCACCCATGAATCTATTCATTCACCCATCCATCCATCCACCCGTCCATCATTCTATCCATTCATCCTTCCATCTACTAATCTATTTACTCATCCATCCATCCAGCCAGCCACCAGTCTAACCACTCATCCATCCACTAATCTAGCCATGTATCCATCTATCCAGGCATCCATCCATCCATCCATCTGTCCGTCTGTCTGTCTACCCATCCATCTGTCCATGCATCCACCCACTATTCTATTCGCTCACCCATCCATCTACTAATCTATTCACTCATCCACCCATCCATCCACCCACCAATCTATCCACTCATCCATCCACCTATCCACCTGTCCATCCATCCACTAATCTATCCACTCATTCTCCATTCATCCATCCACCTATCCATCCAGCTATCCACTAATCTATCCATGCGTCCATCTATTATCCAACCCTCCACTAATCTACTCACTCATCCATCCATCCATCCACCCATCCATCCAACTATCCACTAATCTATCCATGCGTCCATCTATTATCCATCCCTCCACTAATCTACTCACTCATCCATGCATCCATCCACCCATCCATCCAACTATCCACTAATCTATCCATGCGTCCATCTATTATCCAACCCTCCACTAATCTACTCACTCATCCATCCATCTATCCACCCATCCACCCACCAATCTATCCACTCTTCCGTCCATCCTTTCTTCCACCCTTCCTCCCTCCCTCCCGCTAGGTCTGTGCCATCATTGCAGAGGTTTGGGGTACCTGGTCTGCAGCAGACTCCCTTCCCTCAGATAAGCTGCGGATAAAGCAAAGTCCACCCCCACAACCTCCCCTTGTCCCCACCCAGGGTTGCCCATCCCAGACCCTGCTGTGGGCCCAGTGGCTGCCTTGATGCTTCCTGGCATGCCCTGCTGGTCCCTTGGGCATTTTTTTCAGTGGTGCAGTACTTCTGGAAGTTCCTTCTCAGTCCTTTCGCATTCAAGTGCTTCTGAACCCCCCGGGCACCTCCTCCAGCCCCGAGAGGCCTACCCAGTGCCCAGGGCCTCTCCGGGGCGCAGCACTGGAGGCTTCAGGGAAACCCATGCCTGGTGTAGATCCTGAGTTGCCGGGCCACTATTTGGCCAGGGGCACCAGAGCATTTAGCACTGGGACCTTCCACATGGCTCCCCTGTGCCCGCCTCAGAGAAGCTCTGGGACCAGCACTGGGCCAGGGAGGCTGCCGGGTTGTGGCAGGACACCAGGCGCCCTCGACCTGAGATGGGGAAGTCTCCATTCTCCTTCCTTTTGTACCCCCAGCCCCAAGGTGGGGGTCAGGGGAGGCTGAGAAGGCCCCCGAGCACCGGAGGGCTGGCCACACTCTCTTGCTGGAGAAAGGGGCTTCGTGGAGCAGCTGGTACTGGGAGGGGTGTCCGGGTCTGTCCCCTCTGGCTTCACACTGTGAGTGAAACAGCAGGAATCTTGTTTCTCTTAGCTGTCTCTCCCACCCCGCCTGGAGAGAACTACACAGAGCAAGGGCTGGGAGCCTGGGCTTCCTGATGCAGAGGAGGGCCCCTCTGCTGAGACAGTGGGGTGCGAGGGGCAGGTCAGGGATGCATCAGAGCCTGTGGTGAGGGCTTCTGTGGGCTGTGCCTGAGGCAGGATGCAGGTTGGGCAAGGGCAAAAGCCCACACCCTGCAGGTCCCTTTTGCAACGTCACAGGTGGAGCCAGACCCAGGCAGGTGCCGGGGTGGGCGCTGTGGCAGCTGGCACTGTGCCAGTGTCCACCAGGTCCCCACAGAATGCTCCAGAGGCCCAAAGACCTGGGCCAGGCCAGGAGTGGCTCTGAAGGCCCTTCGCCCACACGACGGCTATCCCCAGCACCCTCAGCATGTCACCTGCCACACGACGGCTGTCCCCAGCACGCTCACCCACGTCACCTGCCACACAATGCCGTCCCCAGCACCCTCACCCATGTCACCTGCCACACGACGGCTGTCCCCAGCACCCTCACCCACGTCACCTGCCACACGACGGCTGTCCCTAGCATCCTCACCCACGTCACCTGCCACATGACAGCCATTGCCAGCTCCCTCCCCCACATCACCTGCGACACGATGCCATCCCCAGCACCCTCACCGACGTCACCTGCCACACGACGGCTGTCCCCAGCACCCTCACCCACGTCACCTGCCACACGATGCCGTCCCAGCACCCTCACCCATGTCACTGCCACATGATGCCATCCCCAGCACCCTCACCCACGTCACCTGCCACACGACGGCTGTCCCCAGCACCCTCACCATGTCACCTGCCACACGATGCCATCCCAGCACCCTCACCCACGTCACCTGCCACACGATGGCTGTCCCCAGGCCCTGCCACAGAGACAAAGGGGCCACACTGATGAGGGACAGGAATCTTGCTGGCCCTGTCCCGCCTGCTCATAGAGGATGTAGGCTCACAGAGATGCCCTGTGCCCGTCCTTGGGTCATCTCAACACTGCGACACACCCTTCTCTGGGTCTGACAGCTTTGGACAACACCTGGGCAGAGCTGTGCCCCACAGGGACAGCCTGAGAGCATCTGCCACTGCATTCTTCTCCCCGCCCTGCCGGGAAGCCTGGACCCATCCACTCCCCAAGTCTGCCACGCGTGCGTCAGCTTCATGTCGTGGTGCTCTGGGGCACACACCATGCCCGGCTAATATCTAAATCTTCCGTAGAGACAGGGTCTCACTATGTTGCCCAGGCTGGTCTCAAACTCCTGGGCTCAAGGAATCCTCCCCCACTCAGCCTTCCCAAGTGCTGGGATTACAGGCGTGAGCCACTGCACCCAGACAATTATTTTGATTTTTAATTAAAACATTTTTATATGACACATTCCTTTATTACTCAGAACACAAATTGTTTTTTGTTTGCAGCTGAAGTCACTGCTATTTTTCTTTTTTTTTTTGAGACAGAGTTTTGCTCTTGTTGCCCAGGCTGGAGTGCAATGGTGCGACCTCAGCTCACTGCAACCTCCGCCTCCTGAGTTCAATCGATTCTCCTGTCTCAGCTTCCCAAGTAGCTCAGTGCACCGCCACACCCGGCTAATTTTGTATTTTTAGTAGAGACGGGGTTTCTCCATGTTGGACAGGCTGGTCTGGTCTTGAACTTTCGACCTCAGGTGACCCACCAGCCTCGGCCTCCCAAAGTGCTGGGATTATAGGAGTGAGCCACCACACCTGGCCAAATTTTTAAATTTTTCTGAGCACATAGTATGTGTATATATATTTATCCTGCATGGTTTCATGTGAGAATTCTGCTAAGTCTTCAAGAAACATAACCTCTATTTCAAACAAACTCTTCCAGAGACTAGAAAAAAGAGGCGAGCGTCCTGGCTGGTTTGATTAGATTGGTGTAGTCTGCAGAGCAAGGCTGCACTCAGAGAACACGGGGTACCTTCAGGCTGAATCCACTTATGAACATGGGTGCAAACATCCAAAATCATTAACCGGTTGACTCTAAAAATGTGCTCACAATTACAGTAAAACCTGATCGGGTCTAACCCAGGTTGATTTAAAGCTTAGGAGATCTAATTATCTAATTTGCCAGTCAATGGAGCAGAGATAAACCACCATACGATAAACCATACGATAATCTCATTGATAAGCATTTGATTCTTTTGGTTGATAAATTCAAGCACCAACTGCAATAAAACTCTTAGCAAATTTGGGGGGCAGCTCCTGTGAGTGAGGGACTGGTAGGTACGGCCACTCCCTGCCTCCACCCAGCACAGCGCAGGAGGCACACAAACCAGGAGAAACAGGCTGGGTGCGACAGCTCACGCCTGTCATTCCAGCTACTCGGGAGGCTGAGGCGGTCGGATCACCTGAGGTCAGGGGTTCGAGACCAGCCTGGCCAACATGGCGAAACCCCATCTCTACTAAAAATATGAAAAGGAGCCAGGCATGGTGGCACACGCCTGTAATTCCAGCTGCTCTGGAGGCTGAGGCAGGAGAATCACTTGAGCCCGGTGGGGCGGAGGTTGCAGTGAGCCGAGATCGCACCACTGCACTCCAGCCTGGGCAACGGAGTGAGACTCTATCTCAAACAAACAAAAACAA